GCCCGCCCCCCGGGCCGGCCCCCCCTCCCCGGGGGGGGGGCGGTGGCAAGCTGCCGTCGATTGGCGGCGGGGCGGGGGCTGGAGGGCGAAAAGAAGCAGGCGAAGGGGGAGGTGGAAGGTTCGCGTATCAGAAACCCAACCAGCAGTATGAAGGGGTGGGCGGAGGTGGTAAGCAGCCTGTGGTGCACGAAGAAGGGTCTGAAGCGTGCGGAGTATGTACAATACAGGTACGGTTTCTACATGTATTCGTGCGTGGCGTAGAATGTACTTGTGTTTCGCGATGAGCTGCGATGCCGAATCATCGCGGCTACTCAGAGCTCAGACCTTGGTGCTCTGAGTACCAGCGGCTGCGCCATTCGCGTTGGGTCAACGAAAGAGCTTCGAGGTATTTCGTTCGGAATTGAAACCCCCTTGAGAAAACACGACTATGCTGTCCCTTGTTGGTTTGTCTCCTGTTGGGTTGGAACGCATCCGAGCGAGAAAGCCACATGAAAGCCAGCAATAACACTTGTTGGTTAGAGAAAATAATAACTGACGTCGGCAATAATGTGGATAACATCTGCAGTATCGGAACTAGGACAACGGGACTGAGGGTCGACGCGGTTCCTCCGATTTTCAGCATTCCACAGTAAATGAGACTTATTGGATACCCCACTGACTGACCCCGACTCTTAGCACTCGCCCACAAAGGCTGCGCACGATGCAGGCGGCTCAATCCTCGACCCGGCAGTCTACTTGCCGCCCTAGCACCAACGTCCACACTCCGCCACGCCTGTCATATTTTAGCACAGGTAGCATTCATGAATCGATGTTTGGCGTCTGGCACCAACTGGTGGTGACGAAAAACGTTTGATTTCTCCGGTGACTCGAAAAGGTTGCAACCTTCTGTCAGAGCCTGCTCGCGGGCTGCCTTATCCCCACTAGCTTCAAGCGCGAGCAGTGCGTTCAGCTCCGGACGAGCTTCGTTCTCTTCATGGTCCGATCAGTTACAGTCTATCGACGGCGTTTGGGGTGGACTTCGCTTAGTGCTCCGGCCTTCTTCCCTTCGTTGTAGAGTCCCCCGTGCAAATCTCAACCTCCAGTGTTGTGCCCGTGTGTGAAAGCACGACACCTCACCAGTTCGCATATTTGTTGTCACCGCCTCGCACATTGTTCTTGTCAATGGCAGGGCCTTAAGCCCAACAATCCTAGGTGGGAAAACCAGGACAACTATGTGATGAAGGAGGACCTAGGAGGCTTGGGGGTCCGCCTCTTCGTAGTGCTAGACGGCCATGGGGAGGTAAGCGTGTGTTGCTGCTGCTGTTTGCAGTCGGTTGTAGTTTTTGTTTCTGGCGTCGAAAATCGTTGTCGTGGGTGGTATGGAAGTAGTGGCGCGGTGTTGCTGCCCCGTAACTCAACACCTCTTACAACCCTGTGCTTTTAGAGCCTTTATTCACATTTTCGGCATCATGATTATGCAACCAACGACGCACCCAACTGAGGGCGAAGCAACGAATTCGCGTTCAGCAGCCAGTTCGTTCATTCCTTGTTCAAAAGACGTACGTCATTATCCTTAAGTAGTTCTTTCGTGAAAGCAATCGCCCACAATGTTCTCTTCGCATTATGGATGTGAGCCATTTTCACAAGATGTTCGTATTCGATGTCGTTGGCCGCATTCTCGCCGCTTGCCCTAGATTCTCGACAACGCTTCTCGTCCTCCCCCCCCCCACCAATTCCACGCTAGTTGGGCCACCTCGTGAGTCGAAGATGCTCAGCCAAACTCCCGAACCTGGTGGTAGATTCGAACCTGTGTGTGGCAAGAGCTACCTTGAGGATGGCTGACGATCTCCGCAGCTGTCCGGTGGATTGCGCCTCCAGCGGGGCAACGTGCGTGCTGACCACGATACGCGACGGAAAGGTAAAAAGGGTGCTGGGAAGAGACGATGGTCTTGGCGGTGGTGGTAGTCGTAGTAGCGGTTGTAATCGTGAAGAAGAGGACGTCTTTGTTGCACGACGTTCGGCGTCGTGTTTCGCCGGCTCGTTGTCCTTGTCCCGCGGTCGTAGATAACGTGAAGGGTCCGTGATTCTGAACCTGGAACGCTAAAAATGCCAAAGTTCTTCTGAGGCGTGACCGCGCTCTACTATCGCGAAATTTTCCTCGGGGGCCCGCCACACGAGCACCCGGGGTAATGTGGGGGAGCATGTCAGACACTGCAAAGCTAGGACGACTCATGTTTCCACGTGCCAACGATGTTTTAGTCGAGCAACACAATGCCGCTGGGGGGGGTCTTGGGTGCAGACCCCGGTGACCCGAGAAATGGGGAAAACGCGCAGTTTCTGCGGCCACTATTTCCACGTCAAACGCCTTTTCCCATGCCTGTCTCGTTTCGTGAGATCGCGTACGGCTGGATCCGGTACTCCTTTAGTCCGCTCCGCCTGCAGAATGTTCGAACTCCTCAGTCCGATACAGCTCCCCAGATGCTGTTGGCTTGCCTAAGAGCAAAAATGAATCGTGCCACGATGAGGGATCACACACACGCCCTTTCTTCGTGCCACGATGAGGGTTCACAATACACGTCGTCCTTTCTGCAGTCCCGCAAGCGAGAGGAACTCGAAGCATCAGCCAAGATAGAGAAGTTGACGAAACGTGAAGGCGCAACACGACAAGCGGTTCTAGAGGCTCAGCAGATCACCACAGCACTATCAGGCGTAAAAATTGTGTTGGAAAAATATATGCCTGGGCGGGTTGATCACCTGAGGAACCCTATCAATGAAAAAAACGGACCCATTCTTAGCGGGTGGTGAATCTGTAAGACAGGGTCAAGTTCCATGGTTCTGCAAACGAGGATATGCGCTTGTTTCCACCAAGCGTTCGCTTTCTTCGGCTATGAGACTGTACCTCCCCCTTTGCTTCATGTTTGGCCCCTCTACTGCTTTCCTCGAAGATCTCCGTGGCAAACCTAGGGGACTCCAAGTGCGTGCTGGCGAGGCTGGTGAACGGCCAGGTGTGCGCGGTGCCGCTCTCTCACGACCACAAGCCGGACCGACCGGACGAGCGGCAGCGGATACTTGCTATAGGAGGGCAGGTAATGTATCGTGCTGTAATAGGGGGGGGCGGGGCTTGCAAGCCGAATTTTGGTGGAATTAAACGCCCGCAAACGTTAACCCTTCAAAACCGCTACTCGTCCAACTCGTTGGGCTCGAACTGCTGTCGTACAAGGTTTGAAAACTACTTTCTTGGGACGGATTCCGAAACGCCCGGGTTCCGATAATCTGGAGTCCCAGGGCAGCGTACCAGTACCTTTACCCCCTGCTCTATGCGTGCCATCGACACAAGGCAGACACCGTGCGCTATGTGTGCTGTGTCTCTTCGGAGGTTAATCTTCCACGTGTGTGCCGACGGACGGTTGGCAACACGATTTATTTCTCGTTGAGGGTGGTAAAACGAACAACCGTTTCCTTTCCGACAAGAGGGCTGAAACAAATCATGGACGGACAGCACAATGCTGTACATATCGAATGAGGACATTGTCTACTGAACCTACCAAACGTCGTTCTCATGCGGTGTAGCGGTTGCAGATTCGAGCACAGAGGAGACACGGGGCCTTCCGAACACCGAATACTATTGTGTGAACTAGGACGCCTACCTATCAATCTGGAAAAACCGATACAGAAGTTTTCAGTCCGCCACCCAAGAAAGCTGATTGGGCTTCGGAAATACAACTATCGCCCCTTTGAAAAGGTAGCTTGTCACGAGGCTGACACCCCCGAACCTTGGATGACACATCCTTCGACGCACGCGTGCGTGCTGCAGGTGGGGTCTCGACATCTCGTGGTGGGTTCGAATCCGTCCGGCCCGATCCGCATCCCCATGGGGCCGGCGAGAGTGTGGTATCGCTGTCGGGGGGAGATCATGGGCCTGGCCATGAGCCGAAGCTTGGGGGACGACATCGCGCACCAGGCGGGAGTATCCTCGGAGCCGGAGGTCAAGGAGCATCAGATTGACGCCAACGACCAGGTAGGATGGGGGGTTGGCGAGGGGTTAGGTCGGAAGACGAAGGGAGCGGGCGTCAGCGGGAAGAGGAGTTAGGGGGAGGTGACGGGGAGTAGGCGGGGACTGGGGGCTGTGAGCGGGAAGTGGGAGCGGAGAGCGTGTTGGGTGGAGGTGGAGGCGGGTGGAGGAGGAAAAGAAACAGGGAGACCGGCTGTCGTGCCTTCCCGCGCTCTCTTGCCGCATGCCTGTGGACGGGCGCACCTCTTGCGCCACGACGGCTCTATTTTCGTTACGGCCGGTAGCTACTCGAACACTTCCGATATTGTATTGTGTGCTTACCACAAGTATACAGGAGGGCCACAGGTATGGCTTCTTACACTCGCTGCTGGCCGTCGTTACAACTTTAACTTGGCGGGCTTCCTGTCCCCTTGCCGTTGAATATTTTTCCGCCGCAGTTCCTGATTCTGGCTACGGACGGGGTCTGGGATGTGACGGAGATCGGACAAGCTGTACAAATCGTTCAGGTGAGGCAGAAAAACCTAGCAGACCGTTACACGTTACTTGGAACCCCCCCACGTGGGGCTGAAGAAACGTTTCCGTCGATTCTGTGCGGTGGTTCAATTTCCACAGGGAGACGAGAATAAGACTGGCAGAGGATGCAGCTTTTCGACATATATTCCTCGGCGAAGAAAAACGCCATTGAACTTAACTCGATTGGAGCAAGCAAGCAAGACTCCCCCCCTTAAAACCTCAGCAGAAGAATATCTTCCACGCCTTCAATACCTTCCTACATGTACATCGAACCCACATCGTCTGCAATAGAGAGCACGTGGTAACCCCCCTCCCCCCCATTCTCCGTCATCTCGATGACGCATGGTCAGTGACCTAACTGCCACGGCATGCAAAACATGAGTACGCCCCCCACCCCCCCAAATTTTCCGGCTTTTCCCGCGACGTGACAGGGATACGCATCGCGTTGCCGAGGGAACTCGTGGGACCCGCAGGGAGCTGCGTCGCTCCTTGCGCACTCGGCGCGAAAGCGCTGGGAGGGGCTGTCGGCCGTGGTGGACGACATCACCGCCCTGGTGGTTCGGCTCACCGTGCCGTGAGGATTCGTGACTAAACTCCGTTTTCTACCATAAAAACGCTGTGACGCGGGGTAGTTCCTTCTGATGACCATGGCGCGGCAGGCGTCCTAGGTGGCTGCGCGAAATTCGTGAAGGAGCGGGCGCCACGCTGGAGAGGCATGGCGGAAAACTGTATCGAGGAAGAAAGGACAGATCGGAGAGGCCTACGCGCGCGTCGTTTCCATCACTGTGCATTGTTTTACAGAGATAGCTAGACGTGTTAGCGCACAAGTTGATGCTTGCACTGCCGACACGGATGCTCTGTCAGCACCCGTTTGGCCTAGGCTGCAGGGTCAAAATAGGCGCCGGTCGAGGGGGGTGAAGTCCCTTGCCGATGTTTCCGAGCGTTGCAACGAAACCTTCAACATGTTGTAGGTGTACATACCAGATAGGAACCAATTAATACGGCAGGGCGGAACTCCGCTACTGTAGTTAGGTCCCGAATCGGCAGCGCCGCCTGCGTTCGGTACGTGGGTACATTCCGGATTTACATTACGAACTCATATCGTTCCACCGCAGGCCCGATAGAGAGGTAGGAAGGGGGGAACAGATAACGTCCCTCAACGTATTCGATAGAGAAAGTGTTTGAGAGCAGTTCACTCCCTAAGGAGGTACTCGCCCAATAGAAGCCAAGCGCTGGGTCCTCAGACAAACAGGGAGGGAGGGAGAGAGAGAGAGAGAGAGAGAGAGAGAGAGAGAGAGAGAGAGAGAGAGAGAGAGAGAGAGCGGTAACAGGGGGATAGTAGAGCAGCACGTGCGCAAACGAAAGCAACAATAGTTCTCAGCAGGTCTTTCCCCTGTCCGTGCCGACAGAACATGCCCGAATCGCAACGTTATTGGTCATCCCGCGGCAACCTTCCGGACTGTCCAAAGTCGTGCAGCATGGGTTTTCCCTCAAAATCTTGAGAAACAAGCTGATTGAGGGTTCAAGGTCAAGGCCAATACTGTGGGGGAATGATCTCTCTCCTCCAGCCAGACCAGAAATGAATTGTTGGCGGTCCATCCACCTCTCTTCCTGTCGTCCGCCTGGCGTTCTGCAGAGTCCCAGAAGGAAAAAATGCCCTATTTAGCCATGTATCATCTCTCGCCCGAATGCCTGGTCGTAGGGGTCAACTGTGTCTTCGCACAGTTTTTCACGCCAGGCTGGTCCAACTTGAGTCACATTCACGGTGACCCCGGCCGCGAAAGTACCCAACGACTGTTGTTGGTCTGGCATCCATTGCTTTGGGCGGTATTGTCGGATCTTTGATCTGAGTTGTCGCGAGGGTTCCACTTCCACGTATGTATCTCGTTTTCACTTGTAGCAACATTGAGCTGCTACGCGAAATACGGTTTGCTTTGCGGTGAACATACGTGCCCTCTCGGATCGGCGCCACCGAGAAACAATCAGCGTACAAGGACTATTAGCGCTGCCAGCAAGTATACGAGACGAGCCGCCGGCTCTTTCGGCGTACCGAATCCAACGCACCTCCTTTGATGATCGCCTCGGGTGGGAAGTCACTTCTTCTTGGATAGTGTTGTATCAAGTTATACGGGCGGTACTACAACATAGGCCGTACTTTCTTGGAGCAAAAACGACGAAAAAGCAACCACAGCACAGACAGCAAGAACGTCCAAAGAACGCCATTTAAAGTTGTAGAACACAACCACAAACACACTTGGTTTTGGAACCGACGATCGAAATTATCGTCTCAGATCAAGCCATCATCCATGCACGATGCACACAAGTCGCGAGCGGGACTTGGGCGGCGACTTGGGGTATGCAGCGGATCTTGTCGACATGACTCGGAAGAGTACGGGAAAACATGAGGTCGACGGACAAACAACAACAGCTGACCCCGCCAAACGACCGCTACTCACCGCATCGTCGACGGGGTGGTGTGAAACTACACCTGGAAAAACCCCGCTGCAAAAGGCTCAAAGCCCACGGGCATCTCAGTACCTCCTCCAACACCCAGTGCGCGAAGACGCAGCAGGGAAAAGTGTAACCGTCAGAAGGTTATCCTTACACTTTCCCCGCGACCCCGAAAACACTGTCGCATCCCGAGCCTGCGGGTTTCCCTCTCTCGCTCTCCTCGAAATCCCGCATTTACCACGGGTAACACAGGAAACTCGATACCCGACACATAATATCAGCTACCTCAATCTTGGCGTTGATTGACTCGGCAGAGTGAGTGCCGGGGGGGCACCAACAACACTCCTCTCTCTCTCTCTCACGTCTCTAGCGGCGCGTCTTGTTCCCACCTGGGCCGATTCTGCGACCCTCGTCACTCCTGATAGACCGCAACCCCCCCTCTCTTCCTCCCTTCTCAGGCTTTTGGTCATTCTTTTGGACCCCCTTGCGGTTCCAATGGCCTCCCCAGCAGAAAATTGTACCTCAGTACCCGACGGTCCTGACGAGCGACTCGTACGACTCCATTTCGTCCGCCTTGCGAGGGTTTCCACCGCCTTCTCCGGCGGCGGCGCCCGTGCCCGCACCGGCCTTCTTGTTGGCGGCGGCGGTGGGCACGTTCACCCCCAGCAGGTGGGCTAGCGCCGACCTCGCGGCCTTGGCCGTTTGGAGGTCACCGTCCCACGCGGTGCACGTGAGGATGTCTAGCGCTTCTTCGTACACGGCCTGATGGTTTCGAGAACGACGGGCGGGCGGGACCGGGGGACGCACGTGGTGGGGATTTACCTATTTTGCCGCTGTGGATACACTCTGGCTACGCGCTAGCTCTGCCTGTGTTTCTCACCGCAGTATCGCTCGCGAGTGCACGATGTAGGCATCGCGGCAAGAACCCAACACTGCAGAAGCTGACGCGCCGGCATCGTTCCGGTGCAGCCACGACACAGCGCACGTTGCTCGTCCAGAAAAATACGCACAGCTAGGTACATGGGCACCGCCACGACATCCACTCACATCTCACCTCGGAGAACCGTACACACTACGACTGGGTGGAACAGAAAACAACAGCAAACAAAAAGCGCACCTCGCAGAACCGTATACACTACGACTGGGTGGAACAGAAAACAACAGCAACAAAAAGAGAGAAACACTCGTGCCAGGATATGATTATGGCGGGCCCTGCAAATCCTCTAGATTTGACGTATCACATGCGGCGTACCTCGCATCACCAAAACCAAGCGACTGTCCCTCATTCGTCAGATTCTTACAAGGGCGACCAGACAGAGTCGCCTCCGAAAAAGATGGATTCTCCTTCCTACTGTTACGCCAGGCGTCCCACACGGGCTTTCTCGGATGTTTCTGCGCATGTTTCCAAACCTTTCAATCCAGACAGCCAAGTAGGCAGGATACGGGAAAGAACCATTCGTCTGTGTCTACAGGCGTACACGACAATGGCAGCCTTGAAACCTGCGATATTACATGTCATCTGGACGGTACGCAGTCCGTAGGTTCGGCGATCACCGCTATGGGCGAGGGCCGTACCCAGTACTGTGCAGAAGAACACGCCGAGTGTTTACGCGTCTCATCTTATTGGCACCTCTGGAACTTCCCCCTGTTCCAACTTCAAGGTTCTCTCGAAATTACAAGGCTACCAAGCGCTCGAGTTGGACAACAACAACAACAACAACAACAACAACATTCAGATCCAAACGTGCGGACGGTATTCACCTCGTCGACAACCTCCTCATTGGCGAGAAGCTTGAGGTACATCGCCTCCGCAACGGTCTTCCGAACGTTCGGGAACCGGTGCCCGAGGAAGAGCACCGAGTTGCGGAGGGCCTTCGGGCGGACAGGGTCCGAGTAGTTCAGCATGCACACGAACACACTGTTGTATCGTGTGCCCAAAGGGACACGAGAGAACACAGGAAACAAAATCGCGGGCGGTTGGGGCGGGAAAGACTGTGATCTTGAAGAACACCACCGCGCTTGTATGCCTTTGGCCACGTTAAAGGACGTCAACCAAGATCGGGAAAACGGGTTGTCCGAGCAGTTGGGTTCTCCTGCACGCTGCCGCTCTCGCCGTACACCCGCTTTCCCTCTCGGGACGCTGCCCGTAGCCTAACCACGAACTCGACGTGTAACGAAACGGGCCCGCTGAGATGAAAAAAAAAGTTGAACACCGTTCAGAAACCGGACGCCACACGCAACTCCGCTTCGCAGCAAACACGAAGGTCTGCAAGGATTAGGCCGGAGTTGTTCTGCCTGCCTTGGTGCCTTCCCTCCTCTCCTCTCACCTTGCCCCGAGGCAAATCTTCCTGACGTCACGGCACCCCTTCATCTCTGCCACCACCGCGACCAGCAGCAGCTCGGCGAAAGGGTGCTCCGCCGGGAGAGAATCGAAGCACTCGTTCGACAGCAGAAGCTGAAGCGGAAAACGGGGGGGGGGGGACCGGCGTTCGGAGGGGCGAGGTGCTTAGCTACATACACATATTACAGAGCAGTCGTGGGTTCCTCTATGGGGTGGGTGGCGGGTGGATGACGGGTGACTTCTCTAGGCAAAAATAGAAAAATCCCAGAGGGCGAGTGATTAATGCCCACCTGCAGGGCGAGTGGCATATCTTGGTACGAATAGAACAAACAATCTGCGGCGTTAGTTCTTCAAAAGGGCGGGTGAATGCCCCACTCCTGTAGGGCGGATAAACCGGCCTGGCGTTTACCCGCCCTCTGCAGGCACCACCACAGTAGGCAAAGTCGAAGCTTCGCGTGTGGTTATTGCATGACACGAAACGAACACCTTGTGCGATGGGTTCAGGATAGTCATCGTGAGAGGTAGCATGTACCCGGTAGACTAACCCAAGCACTAAACTAGCTTTAGGGGCTCCGCAGTTGGTCCCGACCCAAGGGAGATATCGTCGATATCTAGCCACAATCAGCGGGAAGGAGCTCATCTCTGGACCGAACGCCTCTCACGCCGTGCGACAGGGGGCGACAGGGTCCCGTCCCCTCGGTTTGCGAAAAGCTGCAAAAAACCGCTGCCTCGGGAGCTAGGCTCGTCGGAGAGCGCTGGGAGACAAAGGGCACATTACAAAGCGATCGACACTATCGAGCAGAAGCAAACCACAACGACGTCATATGACACCTAAGTTCGTCTTGATGAAGCACAACATAATTAAACCACCGGAAAGAGACAAAAGCCGCAGAAAAATCAGTGATAAAAGCAACATAAATAAACCGTCGGAAAGAGACAAAAATCCAGAGAAATCGGTGATAAGTACAACACGGAAAGAGGCAAAAAAAAAACAGAAAAAATCCACACACGCACACATACCTCCAAGGTTTTGAGGAGGGGGACGACGATTCGAGGGTTCCCTTTGGCGTCCCCGAACATCCCCACCAGGCGAAGCGCCAGCCCGGCCACCGCCCTCAGATTTCTCGCCGACTTGCATGCCCTTAGCCACCGCAGCAGCGCCTTGGACGAGTGCGTTACGACCGACTCGCTCAACCCCCCAACGCTCATGACCAGGCCTTCCACTGTTCGTATCGTATCGTGGCGGTGCGGCGCGGTTGGGTTGGGGTCACTTTCGTTCATTCGACTCCAGGATGACTGTTTGGCCACGATCACAAGGCTTTCCACTCTTTGGAAGGAATCGTTGCGTTTTGGAAATCGTTGCATGGTGGTGGGGGCGGGTAAGGAACTCCATTCATTCGATTTCGGTATGAATATATTGCTATGACCACCAGGCCTTCCACTGTCCGTATCGTGGCGGTGAGGTTGGGTTACTCTCGTTCACTCGATTTCAACATGACTGTTTGGCAAAGATCACCAGGCCTTCGCACCCTTTGGAATCGTTGCATGGTGGTGTGGGCGGGTAAATTCGTTCAGTACACTTCAATATGACCGTTTTGCCATGATCGCTAGGTCTTCTGCTGTTGGCATCGTTGCGTCGGTGGCGGTGTCGATGACGCCGGGTTAGAGTTTCTTCATTCGATCTACAGATCAATCGGTGTTTGCCGTGATCACCACCAGGCGTTCCACTGTTGGTATCGTTGGGCGGTGTCGTTCATTCCTTTTCTGATTACCGTTTTGCTAACACAGGTCTCTCGTTGTTTATATCCTAGTTTCCATGTATATTAATATATTACCCTGTCCATTCTAGGCTGCAGAGGCGCCGACAAGAGCACGGGTTGCAACTCGTAAAATAGCCGAGCCCGAGGGCAAAACCCAGCATCGGTTAGGGGTGACCCAAGGACCGACATGAAAACACCCCACTATACTAAACAACCCTCACCCTAACGTAACGCGAAAATTCTGCCGGCTTCGCATCCGGGCGAAAGATGCAGCAAGCAGCATTTTCGGCTAGCCATATCCCTAAACAGTGGAAGACACAGCAAACAACATTTTCGGCCAGCTATATCCCTAAACACAAAAGAATCAAAACCACGGGCAGGCAAGGTAACTGCCTTTTTTTCGTTTATCGTTCTTACCGATGGCGTCGTGGTACTCTGCGACGGCCAGGAGTCCAACCACCATGGGAAACGTCGTCGCAGGGACGGCCCAGTTCACCGGCTCCTTGCCCTCCTCCCCCGCGGCGCCTGGAACGGCAGGAGTGGCCGCGCCATGCGTGATGGCGTGCTTCACGGCCGCTCTCTCCGGAACGAAGGGGAGCTGCGGGTCGTCTGACTGGACGAGCTTCTGGAGAACGGTCCCCGCCCGTTCTCGGACCGAGTCAAGCTTTTCCGACAGCTGAACATGTGTTTTTTTTGTTGGGGGGGGGGAGAAGCAAAAGGTGAGGGATGGGAGAAAGTTTTACACACGTCTACGTACCCTGTTTTTGTTACGCAAACGTCTGTACTTTGTAACCGATCAATTTTCTTGTTTCCGAGCTCCCGACGGCACATTGTGCGAACCGCCAAACAATCCACCTAGTTCCACGTCGAGTAAACACCCACTAAGGCGAAAACGAAAAGCGAAAAAACAAAAAACAAAAAAAAAGCCGTGGCACTACCTGCTTGAGCACGGCGCACATGACGCGCTCCACCATGGAAGGCGTTAGGTACACCTCGTCGCACGGGTGCGGTGTTGGCACCGACGCCGGCGGCTGGTCGAGAAGCGCTAGCCGGTCCTGCAAATAAAAAGGCGTAAAGGTAGAACATCCAAGACCAAGAGAATGAATCATCACGCAAACCGGCTGGGTGGGGATATTGACAGGTCAAGAGCGAAGATCAAGACAGAGAGGTGGGCTTGCGGCGGCAAGAGGCCCGTCTGGCGTAAGCGTAGCAGGTTTGGGCTCCCGGGGCGGAAGGGTCGACGCGTGAAAGGTCCGTCCATGGTGCTTTTGTATGCTACGTACGCATGCAGCCATGAGATGGCAAGCTTCGGATACGGCGGAACGAGCTCGGAATCTCATTCACATGCGTCGACCTACGCAAACGGGTTTAGAAGTTTTGCCCACGACAGCGCGGGAGGGGGGGGGGATCCGCGCTTTCAGGACACGCAGGAGCAAGCGACAGCCGAAAGCGCGCCAACGTGTAGGGAGCGCTGACGACAAGGTCTTCTTCCTTGTCTCCGCTCTCTGCTTCCCTTGCGTCGCGACGAAATAATACACTGGCATCGACGCTCGGTGTGCACTCACTTGAAGAGAAGGGAGGATCAAAGTTTCTGGCGCCTGTTGCGCTGGGGGCTGGACGGACGCGATACCGCCTGGCGGCGGTGTAAGAGTGCAGCAAGGCGACGGCAAGGGAATAGAACAACCAAGTTTCGGAAATACATATATTCGTCTTGTTTGGAACAACCTATATTTCCTACATCACAGCGAGAAGTCTCGAACTTTTAGACTAGGGCATGACAACCATCTTTCCCGTGTACACTCCGGCACCGCAAAATCAAACCTCTCCACAATCAACCACTCGCCACAATACCAAAACAAAAGGCCAAAAAACTACGGCGAAAAAACCAAAGACGCTCACGGCGGTTTGCAAGCGGCAAGCCCCTCGACGCCCTCGCCGCGAGTCTCAGCAGCCTCTCCATCCCCGCCAACGCCTCGACCCTGCACCAGGACCCGACGTCCCCCCTCTTGTCCACCGAGTAGTCCTCCGATGACGCCAGGAGCGTCGCCAGCACGCCTTCCACGTCCGCGAGGGTGAGCCACGCCGGACACCACGCCGCCCCGGACTCCCCTTCTCGAGCATCAACACCGCCTCCACCACCGGAAACCCCACCGCTGTCGTGGCGTCCCTGCCCGCCGCCCGGGTCTTGCGACGGCTGCTGCTGCTGTTGCTGCTGCTGCCTCCCCACTCCGACCTCTTCGCAAAGGGTCACCAGGGACCGGACCGCGTTTCTCCGCGTCTCGGCATCGGGCTCCCCCCCCGGTCCTCCGATGCCGCCACCGCCGCTCGTCGCAGTGGTGCCGTTGGCGGCACCGCCGCCGGTTGTTGCCAGTGACGGGGAGCGAGGAGGAGCGTGGCGGCCAAGCGCTGCGTTCTTCAAGGCGTCAAGGAGTTCTCCCAGAACTGCGGGCGAAGCGCCTGGGCGGAGAGCGGGGGGGGGAGACGGCACGGAACAACAGAGTGGGTAAATTTTGTCAGGCAGAAGCGCACCAGATTCGGTTTTGCAAGAAGAGGGCATTCAGATGCGAGGGCCACAAACGCGACGGTCGGGGTGGGGCTTCGACATGACGTGGACGACGGTCGGGCCGAATCCAACCAAGGGGCAAAACCAGCAACACGGTCCAGCCGAACCACACCCAACACACGGCGGCCGGAGACATCATCCCAAGACAAGCACGAGTTGGCACGGCTGGACAACAGCGCTCACCCGCAAGCTTCCGGGGCAGCACCCCAAGCGCCATCGCGTAGCCTCTCGCCACCGCCGCATTCTCTTCCGTCCTCAGCCCACCCACGTACAACCCGATCGTCCTACCCAGGACGCCGGGGTGACGCAGAGGTGAACATCATGGTGGTGGTGGTGGGGGGTCATCTTGCCGAGACTACGCGTGTGAGGCGCCCATAAATGTTAACCTCGACGCCAATTCCATCTCACACAACCCTCCCGGCAACACCCTAGGAGCTGGTGTCGTAAACGCACATCGCCCGACTATTTCAAGTACCTCGAAAAGCGTACGTGCCCCACTCATCAACGATGGTGTATGCATAGCCCACACGGGAGAAGTTGGTGAAAGAGAAGGGGGGGGGGGGGTTATACCTTGTCCGCAGTCGCTCTGACGGCCCATCCCGGCCCACGGGGAACCAGTTCTCAAGCACGGCCTTGAGGGCCGCCGCTGCCGACAGCTGGACGCTCTCCACCGCGTGACGCAGGCTCTCGTCCACCGAGTCCAGGAGACGCAGCTGAAACAGGCCACGAGAAAGCAACAGGACGTTGTTGATGCCATGTACATATTTTCGATGGTCGAATGAACCTCCATGGACGCAAGGGGAAGCAAGCCAGAGTGTTTGCCAACCGACACATGGCGCTGTTCGCCCCGGCAGTGCCACAAGACCTCCCCTACATTCCCATGTACCTGTCTCGGCTCGAACATATTTTGTCATGCGTCGAATGAATCTCCATGGACGCACAGTAAAGCAACACCGAGAGGTCTACAAATACGGAGTTCAGGTGACGCAGCTGAAACAGTCCACCAGAGGTACCAAGACGTCCAAAATAATCAATAATTCAGGGATAGAATCCCCCGAGAAACGCAACCCAGGGCGACCAGACCGACTCATCGCATTGCTGTGTACCACATGCCAGCTTGTTTGCGTTATGTTCGTCTTCCGGCAGTGTAATGAGGCCTCCTCAATACGTGCACCAGCTTCGCCAACCACTTCGGACGAGCTTTCGGAGCCCAAAACGTCGCCGCTCACGGCAACGGCCAGCCATGACTAACACGTCAGAAATCGCCCAGACCCCACAACGAAGACATCGCACGCTCCAATGCACCAAAAATCTATGACACTTCGGCGGTTTGGTACCTGGAGCAACCAGCCTTCACGAGCTTGTTTTCGCACCCCAAACATATCAGAGAAAGACTGAAAAACTCATTGAGGGGCCTCTTTTCCCGATTTCAGTCAAGCACTGCAGGAGGGGTAGAAGAAGAAGGACCCTATTGTGTGACCCGGGATTGGGGATAGCTCCTCTCCGGCAGAAACGCTGTAAGCGCCGATATTAAAGTGCGCACATAAAAAAAAGGTGTTATCTGGTGATTTTTTTGGTGCCAACGTCTCGGGAAGACCGTACCTGCGTCTTGATCGCCACCTCCGACTTGGTAAGGGCGAGGCACTCCACCAGCCTGCACGCCGCTTGCCGCATCAGCTCCCCGCCTCTCCCGCGGTACAGCCGTGCCTTCTCCAAGGCGGGGACGATTCCCACCAGCCCCGCTACGGTCTCCGCCGGCAGGGCATAGGAAACCTTCACGGAGATGCCGAGAAGAGAGGCGGGGGGCGGGGGCGATCTCATGTTTTATGTGCCATAGATGTTAGACCATTGACCACGCGTCCTCGAGAGGACGGAGCATTGTTCCCACAGGACCGATCACCGATGGCGAAGCGTTCCTTCCTGCTTTGCCAAAGTCGGCTCAAAAATGCTTTCCCTATCCTATCTATCCGCCGAGACTCATCACCAGAAATCTCACCCGCAAAGTGCACCCACTCCGGCCTACCGCCCGCCGCCTGTATCCACCCTCTCGACGTTAACCCCCCTCTGGCAAAAATGACATGGCACGATGTTCCCTATCGCTGACGAATGCACACCCGGCAGTTCACGATAGCCCGGGCAAATGGCAACTCTTTGAACCCCACGCAACCGCACCGCAGAGTGGCAAAGTGCTCTCCCTCGCCCCGCCCTACCAACACCGCCCAACTACCTCACGACCTAAACCGAAATTTGGCTCTCCTCTCCCTCATGCAAAAACGGAAAGCCACTCCTGACGCCTCAGAAAGCTGCCCCTCCATAGGTGGCCAACGGTCTCAAAACAAAGGCATGCAAAACATGGGTACGCTTCCGCCCCAACCCGAAACCGCCACAAACCAGACGACAAAACACAAAGAAAGAAAGACACGCCCAAAAAAAAAAAGACACAACACGAGAGCCTAGGATCCTCAAAGCAAACCTGTCCGAGAGAAAGGGTGACTTCCGCCAACGCTAGGCAAGCGCCGTGCCGACGAAGCAAGTCCGGCGAGAGCGTGTCTCCCAGGGCGGCGGGCAAGACGGTCTCCGCCGCATAGGCGGGCTCGAGGGACGCGATCCTCCCGAGGGCCAGGGCGGAGAGTCGCCTCAGCTCCGGGTCCCAGTGCTTGAGCTTGTCCAGCCTCAGCGTGTCCACGATGTGGTGTCGATACCTAGGAGGGGCGGGGGGGGGGGGGGGAGAGAGGGACAGAGATAAAGGGAGACAGGGACAGACGGATACATCCAACTCAAGGGGGGGGGGGGGGGACATCCCCTTCGACTGTGAGATTGTCTGGAAGGGGTGGGCTTGCAGCCAACATCACGCGTGCTTTCTCAGAACGGATACTGCCTCGTTGAAATATCCCCTGAACCTTCGATTCGCGTGAGTACCGCGCACGGGGTGGTGGGCA